ATCAAAAAAAGGAAAATGTTTAAAATATGTCTAATTATGTTCAAGTCGTTAATTGAATTGGCGCCTGAATATCTAACATGTAAATTCAATTAAAAAAAAAAAACGTCAACAGGTGCTTGTTTGAGATCAGATGAGCAAAATTTACTGGTTGTTCCGTCAAGAAAACTTCAATTTGGAATGCGAGATAACTCAGTAGCTGGACCTGCCGTATGGAACAGTCTGCCTTTGCTCTTAAAAAAAGCCGCGCCATGATGAAAAAAAAACCTTAAAACTTATTTGTTTTCATTGAACTAATGTTGATACAGACATAATTGTTTTGCTTTTCAATTTGTAGCTTAAAATTGAGAGCGCTTTTGAGAATATTTCTATTTAAAGTTGCGCTTTATAAATTGATCTATAAATATATATATATATATATATATATATAAATACCTGTGGGCTTTCCTGCAATCATAATCATAACTGCAGAGAGCATCATCATCATCATCATCTTTGTCGTCATCGCCGTTAATCGGGGATATTAAATCATCAAGGATTATTTCATCAATCTGGTGGAGGTGATGATGATGATTGTGAAAGTTGTGCTTACTGATTATGGTGATGATATCGATGGTGCAATCAATTAATCAATCAATCAATTAGCTTATAAAGCGCTATTTCCGCGATGTTCAACAGCGCTCCTCAATGAATTTTGAAAACAGATGGGTCTTGAGATCCGCTCTGAACTTCGCAAGCGATGGAGAAATAGTTAGAGAAGTAGGCAGAGAGTTCCAGAGAAAAGGACCAGAAAAAGCAAAAGCAGATTTGGCAAAAGAGTGTTTAACACGAGTTAAGAAAAAGCGAGAAGAAGAAGACGATCGTAAACCGGGGCGTTTAGGTTCAATTAATATATCTGATAAGTACTTAGGAAATAATTTAGATTGAGACTTATACATGAACGTGCAAATTTTAAAAATTATTCTATATTTTATAGGTAGCCAGTGCAAGAGAACAAGATATGGAGATATATGAGAAAAGAAAGGGGCACGAGCAACTAGACGAGCAGCAGAGTTAAAAGCTTTACTTAAAGGATAGAGTATAGAGTCAGGAAGACCATAGTAGAGCGAGTTACAATAATCAATCCTAGATAAGACTAACGAAGTAACAAGAAGGAGAAGAGTAGGATCATCAAGAAAAGGCAAAAGTTTTTTTATTCTACGTAGATGAAAGTAAGAGCTTCTAGCAACACTATAA